ATGGATAACCGGTAGGAAGCACCGCAGCAGCAGAAGATGCCCCAGGGTAGGGCATAGAATGAACATTTTGAACCATAGTTTGAGCAGGCTGAGACAAAACCGGAACATGAATAGGAGGACCCATATACGCATGCTCATCTTCATCAGGAATCTCAACATCATTAGACATAAGAGTCTGGCGAACCCGTGTCTGAGGAATCTCATGATCATCATGATTCACCACAAGAGGTGCAATCGGATTAGACATGCCCCGAGGATAAGCAGCTGAATTACCATTGGGCATAGGCGCAACAAAAGGTTGATATGGACCAAAAGCACTATCACCGGCGATCTGAGGTGGGAAATTCGGAGGCATTCCCCATGAGAAGGTAGCAGGAATTCTATTCAAACTCGGCTGAACAGAAGTTAGATTCAAAGCAGGTTGAGCAAGAGTCTCAACAGGAACTTCTACAATTGCTGGAGAGGAAGCCACGACAGGAGTAGGGATCACTGTAGGAGTAACAACAGTAGCATCAATAACGGTTGCAACAACAGAAGTAGCAGCATCGGCGTCCTTCTGAGCATGAAAGAAGTCCATGATAACGTCCATGTTAGTCTGGAACTGATCCACCCGACCTTGAAACTGAGCCAAAGTCTCCTTGTAGGCAGCGTTCTCTTGTTCAATGTCAGCCATGATCCTGGTCTTGTTTGAGCGAGTGAAATAGCAATGCCGAGTCGTCGTCTTGCTACAAGGTATGACGGATAGTGAAAGTGCGTGGTTTCCAGATGAAGGACATGCATATGAATATGATTGGATTGAAACAGATGCAAAAATAAAGTTCTATGCATATGCAAAAAATGTTAATGGTTATGATGAAATGACATGCAACACACAAACCACGAAGCCAAGCACAAATCCGAATAATCAAATCTGCCCAATATGAATATCCAAATCTGCACAAACTGAATATCTGCATAATTCTGTGTTGGCGCAAAATTCTGATGTGCGTGAGAGAACAAAAGGTATGAAGAGGCTTGGTTTCCTGAAAAAAAACCATATCCCACTCACAAGTGTGATCTACACTTAAAATGGTACGACATCCTATGCAGGTCACCAGTATCACGGACTCTCAGGTCGAGAAACAATGATACGTTTACCATTTCTGATTTGGCATCACGGTCAATCGAGAAGGTCTCAACTCACTTCCCAATGAACGGTCTTCAGAGTCGTTAGTTTTTCTATGTCAATACTGATCCCTCAACTACACCAGGGCAATTGTTCAGTGAAAGATGCATGAAAGTTATGAAGGAGGAAACTACAAAAGCTAACACACATGTAGTTACAAGATTTAACCATCATAACTACAATTGCAGTGTAAAGGAAACAATGGACCACAATGAGCGGAGGCCAATGGGATAATACCAGGTCAAACTACATAACAGTTGGTGTGACTACAAAAAGTTTCAAGCTTTCCACATGCCTTTCTACCATGTCATTGCAACATGTTCAAGTGTTTACCAAGACTCTTTCTTGCATCTATCTGCCCTTTACAAAGTTGTAAACTTATTTGGTGTATACAACAATAGCTTCATAGTGGTAGTAAAAGAGGAATATCGACCTACATATCAAGGGGATGTAATTTGACACAATGAAAATATGAGAAGGAAGAAAAAGAGTTGCCTCAATAACACGCATATTAGAATTGAAATGGATACAACTGACAAATTTAGAAGAAAGTATGGTATATGTCGTCATCCCGGACACACACAAAAATATTGTCACAATCTAAGAACAAGCTCGGGAAAATATTTTTTATGTTGTTAAATTTTTGTAACCTTTGAATTTAATACATATGTCAACTTTCTGTTACAACAAAAACAAACACAAACACACCTAAAACAATAACACAAATAACAAATAAAAAGACTTCATAGTACAACATATCTAAGATCATACAACAACAAAACAATATCATTTGATGTAGACATTATATCCCTAACATCATTGTCATATTTAACTGATACCCACATATGGTGAATACTGTCATTGCCATCAGTAACAGAGATATACGAAACAAGTCTATCAATTCTTTTTAACTCTTCCATAATCAATAATCTCTCCATCTAACCAAAGGACCAAGTTCCTCTCAAGTTGCTCGAAACTCCAGTTAACCCCAAAACACATCTTCATCGAAGGTTTGATACTCGAATAAATAACATCCTCATGTCTTTTAACTCTTTCACCATCATTAATCTCTCTGTCTAACCAAAAGAGCAAGTTCCTCTCTAGTTGCTCAAAACTCCAGTTAACCCAAAAACGCATTTTCATCGAAGGCTTGGTACTCGAATAAAAAAACTTCCCCATGTCTTTTACCACTCATGTTAGAACAAATGAAAAAAGATTAAGACGAAAATGAGAAGAGGTGTGAAAAAATAGTAGAAGGAACATCTATATTTATAAAAATAGTACTTTTTAAGATATAATATTTTATTACCAATTAAAAAAAAGGCAAATAAAAGAAGTGATGGATAAATTGGTGCCCCTTTGAAATACAAAGAGAAGGCTCCAATTAGATTGACTTGGCATATTAGAGATGCTAATTTGCTTGAGTTGTATTCTAAAATGATAAATGGGGCGTCAATTAATTGGCTTGAACTCTTTACACTAAATCTTTTTTGTTTGAAATATGGATAGTTTAAAAAAAGATTGAAAACATAATTATTTTAATATTTTAATTTAAAAACACTCTTATTTTAAAAAAAACTCGCCTTTAACATACTACGAATGAGGTTGATATATATTATTTTGATAACATTTTATATACAATGTGTTCTGAATAAGGGTGGCAAAATGGGCTCAGCCTGTTGGGCATGTCCGTTTTGCCCGTACTTTAGCTGGGCGGTCAAGAATTTAAACCCTCACTCTCTAATTTTCTCGGTCTGCTCCGCCCCATTTTTTGAGAGCTTTTGCGCACATGGTCATTAACATAATTTTATGCATGCAGTGCCCGCAGGCATGCCCTGCTCTATTCACACTTTGTGCGGGACATATTAAGGTTTTGGCCCGCACCCTCAACTATGTCCATCCTGCCCCACCCTGTTTTATACAGGCTTTTGGGAGACATGTTTAAACAGAGCGGACATGCTTATTTGTCATCCCTAATTCTAGATGTATTAGAATTGAGAAATTTTTTGGATAAGGATATCCTGCACTATACCTTACTCTTATTTTTATATAATTTGATATCATGACATTCTAAGTCTGATTTAACAATCACAAATTAATATATTTATATTTTTCAAATTGAATCATCAATTATTTTAATAAGTTTATACCAAAAAATATGATAGGTGGGAAAAATACTAAAGAATAAAACAATGGTTAATAGACCAAGGGAATTTTTATCTCATCCTACGGGGTGGAAAAACATTTTATGGAAAACCCAAAAATTCCCTTAGATTCTAGAGATGCATCTCCAAACGCACTTTGTCTTAAGTAAAAATGTTAACTGATCTAGAGATGTATATCCAAAATATTTTAAACATTTATTGATCCGGAGATGCATCTCCATTTAGGGCTTACGGAGATGCATCTGTGTAACCTATCAGAACAATGCAAGTTAAGTTAGTTTTATGGTTACTCATATGAAAATGACGATTTCTAAATGTTAAGTCCACTGTTATGAGATGAACATTAAACCATACAATCAATATGCAAAAAATAACATATACAAATCTAGATGGTCAAAATAAACCATCAACCGATACATAATGAAGTCGAAATACACAATAAAGTTAAAATAAGACAAAATAAAATACAATTGATAGTAAATCCAAAATACAAATACTATTAACTAATACGTATGCTGAACTAGAGCTCCTCGAGCTCCTCAGCCTCCTCTCCTCTCGTTCTCCAATGTTGTCTCTTGTACATCAGTTCTTCCCTCACCTCAGAACCATCATGAAATATATCTCGATCAATGCATGCATGCACAATCTCCATAATGCGACAACATCTAAGCAACAGATCATGAGCGTGATCTAACCGTGTCTGCTCCTTCTCTAATATCTCCTAATGAGATGACCTCGGTGTATCACCTAAACGAGCATGCACCATATACGAATGTGACACCCTGAAGAACCACCTGATGTACCCGTCGACATAGCTCTAGTTACTCTCAGCTATGGTACTCCGTGCCTCCTCCGGTACTAGATCACTAACATAATCATCAAACATGGCATCCATATCTACATGTGTCATAGCAGGAGGAGCAGAGGCCACATGGTGTTTGGGAATAGTCTGATTGTAACCGAACTGCCTCATGATGCGCTCAAGAAGATAAAGAAATATCATACGTGAACCGCAAGCCCACCATCCAAAGTATAAGATTATATCGTCAAATGGCTGCGTCTCACAGTGATCGACAAAGCTCTTAAAATGCATATCCTCGTCTATCAAGCGACCAAGATATACTTAAAACGGTTCTATCGCATGGTTCCTTATGAGCGGGGAAAATGCAGAAGAACGTCACATATCCTCAATATAGGTTGGTACACACAACCAACCGAAGATGCGCAAGAAGTGATGGAGGATCCAAGCCTGAAAAGTGTTGGAACATATGAATCATTAGTAAGGGCGTTGCAAAAATATAATAAAAATGAAACACACATATACACTAAAAGACCAATAAATATTATCGTCAGAAGTGTGATGCTTCTTGTCACTTTCTCAATACTACTTAGTGATTGAAGGTGTAAATTACATTAGTTCAAAATTTGACATATCTTTCTATATTGAATCAAATAATTATTAAAATAATAAGTATGGTAGTGACACAATAGTCATCCATCCATTTTACATTTACCTTTATCAAAAAAGAAAAGCATGTGAAATTTGTCACCAAACACTTGTTCTTTCCACCGCCATAACTCTTCTCCTTATATATAACAAACCCACACGCCTCAAAAACTTCAACAACACTCTCTTCTTCTCTCAAACCAGAAGAAGAAACAAAGCAAATATGGCAAGTTTAGAGGAAGACGAGTTGGTACAAATGGTACATGACTTTATAGAGTCTGATCATTCACCTAACTCACCTACAAGTTTCATCACTTCTTCTAATCACCACCCTTTACACAATCGAACACAACTTTTTATTTTGCAGGTAGGTTGATTAAATTCAAATTCTTTACAAGAGTTTCTTGGTTTGTTGATTAACTACTTTTGGTTTTAATGTTTTTAGGATATTTTAAGGAGTGATACAGGTTTAGAAGAAGCTAAGGTTATGAAGTATGTGATGAAGCATATGAGAGGTAGACATGGTTCTGAGAAAACAAGAGTTCTTAGTAGATGGATTGTTAAAAGAATGAGAAAAGATGGTTTTAATGCTTCTCTCTATCAAACTTCTTGGTCCACTTCCTTAGGATGTCCTGCTGGTAGATCTTTCTCTACTATATATCAACTATGATTGTTTTTAATTAATTTATTTTCGTCCTTAGTCCTATACTTTTTTTCGAATAAAATTCGTAGGAAAATCAGGTTTTATGTGGATTCCCCTTCGAATTTTCCTGTCGATTTTCCTTTGAATATTTCTGTAAATTTTCCTTCTAATTTTCTTATAGATTTTCCTGCGAATTTTCCTTCTAATATTACTGCGGATTTTACTTTAGAAAAAACAGCAGTGTCCAATAATACTATATAATACGGACACTTTTAACAAAGATATGTCCGGTCGATCAACACCAAGACATATGTGATTGTGATTATAATTGTGTTAAATTAATGTGGTAAATCAACAACTAAGCATGTTTATATGACAGGTGAATACGAGTATATTGAACTCATGATTGAAGATGAGAACAATGATGGTGATCCTATGAGGCTTATTATAGACATAGACTTTAGGTCACAATTTGAACTTGCAAGACCAACAGAAAACTACAAAGAATTAACAGACTCATTACCAATAATCTATGTTGGAACAGAAAACAAACTATGCAAGATAATCTCTCTTTTATGTTCTGCAGCCAAACAGTCCCTAAGAGAAAAGGGTCTACACATACCACCATGGAGAACCACAACATACATGCAATCAAAATGGCTCTCTGTGTGTCGAAAAGAGGCTAATCCTGTTGGTAATGGTGTTGGAATTGGAGATAATAGTGTTGTTGGAAATAGTAAGAGGGTAAAGAAAAGTGATTTGGGGGGTGAATCTGGTTTGTCTAGTCAATTTTCTAACATGAGGATTAATTGTTGTTAGCCATACTACTATGCTAGCTGATGAGGACTTTTCATTTTTGGTCTTATGTTGATTTGGAGCTCAATAAATAGTTCAATTAATGAGTATAAAATTTTGTTTTGTCACTCACACTTATGCAAGTGCATTCTAATAAATATATAGTACTATTTTTGAGGTCAAATAGTGTTTATTTAACTTTTTTAAAGTTTAATTTTGTTGCTTTAACTTTTGGATTTTTTTACACTCAATAATTTTGTTATATACATTCTATTTGGTCTGTATATTGACTAAGAAAGTTAAAATTTTCTTATAATAAAGAATTTATTTAATGATTTTTAAAAAGTTAAAATTTTCATATAATACTAAGGATATACTCAACTTTCAGATTATTTGACTTATTTAAGAAGAGGTCATGGTAGTTTGAAGTAATCCAAAACAATTACTTCCTCCTTTCTAACCATTACACTTGTCATTTTACACAAGTTAACAAATATATCAAAAACGAGAATTTATATCAATTTTATCCATTTCTTATCATCTATTACCATATTATAAATATGAACTTGATAGAATAATAAATTAAATGTATAAACTAAAAGCTATAATTTAATTACAAATGAAAACTAAAATTGCTTTGAAAACTCAATACACACCTGTTTTAAAACAAATAAACGTTTTTAAGTGATCGAGGAAATTTTTTTAAATAAAGATAAGTTATTAAATAAAAAAGAAAAATAAAAGGATTACGAAACATAAAATGCAATTTATTAAATATCTTCCAAAAACAATAGTTGGATATATTTGTTGAGAATGTAATTTTTTGTGTCCGTCTATCGAAACACTTAGTTGTCAAAATGTCGAAGAAATGTCTGTTTGACAAAACTTAAGACTTTACTTTATTTGTTTGTTTTAGATGAGTTAGTTAGGTTAGTTAGAGATTTTTTGGTGAACAAGCAACTTCAACCTATAAATAGGGAGTAACCCTATTATTGTAAAGTGGAAAATAATGCAGTTACATAGTTGAATACAATTTTCAGTGTAAAAAGTAGAGAAGTTTCTCTGCAAAATTATTATTCTTCTTCCCCTTTTACTCCAAAACCTTAATTCTATTTCTTCCCCAATTTTTATTTTCTTTTCCTTCTTAAATAATCATTGTGCAACAGAATCATCTCGCAACAAATGTGTAATTGATTCACTCGAGGAAAGAGTGAAGAATAAGAGGAAAAATTGATCAGTGTGATTGATTCTTGTTCATGAGGATTGATTCAGAATTCTCCATAGGTTTGGTGTAATTTTAGAATCTTGTATCTAGAGCATTGGCTGTGTAATTCTTGAGAAGCATAGCGCAATGAATCATCAGAATGAACATTTTCTGAAAAGTCTCCCAATTCTAAAGAATTGGAATTATGAGAATTGGTGCAAGCAGATGAAGATTGTTTTCTACTATCAGATCTTTGGGGTCTTGTGAAGGAAGTAGTAACGCCACTTGCAGAAAACGCGACGGATGAAGAAAAGACTGCATACAAAGAATTGAAGAAGAAATATTATAAAGCTCTCTTTATAATTATTTAATGTGTTGATCCAGACAATTTTGAAAAGCTGAGTGATGTTGAATCGGCGAAAGAAGCACAAAAAATCTTAGAGAAATCGTTTGGAGGTGCTGAAAAGGTGAAAGAGGTGAGGTTACAAACTCACAAAATAACGTATGAATTACTTCAGATGGAAGAAACTAAAAGCATAACTGACTTTTCCACTAGGGTTGCGAAACTGGTGAATCAAATTTAGGTATGTGGAGAAGTGTTGATACCAAGATCAGTTGTTGCAAAGATTTTGAGGTCATTGGCTTCAAAGTTTGACTATGTGGTAGTAGCCATAGAAGAGTCAAAAGATTTGTCAACGTTGACAAAGGAAAATCTTCAAGGACACTTGAATCTCATGAGTAAAGAATGGTTGATAGAGTTGCAAGCAATTTGAAGATTGATATGGCTTTGCATGCATAATCAACAAGAGAAAAGAAAGGCAAAATGAAGTTGTTTGACAACAAAGGTAGAGGAGGCTATAACAATTTGACTGGTAGAGAAAACCAGCAAGAAGGAAATGTGTCGAACCAGAGAAGACACTTATACCAAAGCAACCACAGAGGTGGTGTCGGAGATAGAGGAAGAGGTGGTGGTTAAAAACCTAAAAAAAGTCATATTCAATGTTTCAATTATTATAATTATGGTCACTATTCTAGTGATTGTCCTGAAAAACAAAATAATTAAGATAATGAGGCAAAGTTTGCAAAGCATGAAGAAAAAGAGATGTTGTTAATGGTCACAACAAGAGATGAAGAAAGATTCAAGGACCAATGGTACTTGGAATCACGATGCTCATCATGCATGACTGGTAGGAAGGATTGGTTTGCAAATGACAATAGTCTAGTAGCTGAAGATATTGGTGATGTTCTGATTATGAGGAAAGATGGAAAAAGTTTAGTAATTTCCAATGTATTATATATACCAAGCATGAAGAGTAATTTGTTCAACATAGGGCAGTTGGTAAAAAAGAACTACAAATTTTCGATCGAAGACAAGATGATGTGAGTTATTGAATCAAGTGAAAGGTTAATCTTGAAGGCTCCAATGTCTCGGAATAGAACCTTCAAGGTTGGACTTAATGTAATGGAGCGCAGGTGCCTTGCAACTGCAGCTAGCAGGGATGAATGGATACGACACTATAGACTTGACCATCTCAACTTTAAAGATATCAGATATCTAAAGAGAAGATATATGGTTTTAAGGTTGCTAAAAATTAACATTCCAAATGAAGTGTATGAGGAATATGTGTAGGAAAAGCTTCACAAGAACAAATTCAACAAGGATGCAGGAAGCAAGTCGAAGGCAATTATTGAAGTCATATACTCTAATGTATGTGGTCCTATCCAGATGGATTCGATTGAAGGTAACAAATACTTTGTCAGATTCATAAATAATTTCAATAAAAATTTATGGACTTACTTGATTAAGAAGAAAAGTGAAGTGATTAAGATGTTTTTCAAATTTAAATCTATGGTCGAGAAACAAAGTGATCGAAAGCTCAAAGTTCTGAGGAATACTGGTGGTGAAGAATATGTGTCGAAAGACTTCGACATATCATGTGAGAGAGAAGGGATCGTGCATGAGGTGGTGCCACCTACACTCCATAACAGAATGGAACTACAAAAAGGAAGAACAAAACCATCATGAATATGGTGAGAAGTATGTCGAAAGGCAAGCATCTATCCAAAGAATTATGGGGAGAAGCAATGTCGACTGCAACATACATATTAAACAGATGTTCAACAAAGAAGCTAGAAGGAATCATGCCAGAAGAATGTTGGCATGGTGTCAAGCCTAGCTTAAGTCATATGAAGGTATTTGGATCAATAACACATATACATGTGCCTAATCAGTTGAGAAGAAATCTTTATGACAAGTCAAGTCAAATGCTTCTAATAGGGTATCATTCTACTAGAGGATACAAGTTATTTGACCAAGTGAATAAGCAAGTAGTGATCATTAGGGACATCATAATAGACGATCTTAAGGAATGGGATTTGACTGAAAATGTAAAGAAGGATTCAGTGAGAATCTTATGTGAAGAACTAGCCAGTGAAGTCGAAAGAGAAGTTCAACAAGAAAAAGTAAGAGGTCCAGCAAGCACAAGTAGACCTGAAAGAAAGAGACACATGCCTGCAAGGTTGCAAGAATGTGTGATTATATCAAATGATGTGTTCGATAATGAAGGTGAGATGGTACACTATGCTTTCTACGCAGATGTTGAACCATTTAATGTAGCTGAGGCATTAAAGGATTCAAAGTGGATGAAAGAAATGAATGAGGAACTGAAGTCCCTCAAAGTTAACAACACCTGGTAACTTGTCGAATTGCCTCAAGGCAAGAAGGAAATCAATTTGAAATGTGTATTCAAGGTAAAGTTAAACCCCAAAGGAGAAGTAACTCAACATACTAAAAAACTTGTGGACAAAGGATTTCTTCAGAAAGAAGGAATCAACTTCGTGGAGGTTTTTGCACATGTTGCTAGGATTGAAACAATGAGGTTAGTTGTTGGTCTGGCAAACATGAACAACTGGCATATGTGTCAGATGGATGTGAAATGTGCATTCTTGAATGACCCTTTAGATGAAGAATTTTATGTTGTACAACTAGTTGGATTTGTGAAACAAGGTATATAGGCTGCATAAAGCCATGTATGGACTTAAGCAAACTCCAAGAGCTTGGAATAAGAAGATAGATAGATATCTAAGGGATAAGGAATTTATAAAGTGTACAAATGAGCATGGAGTATATATAAGAATAAGCAAGAGTGAATTTCTTATATTGTGTCTCTATGTCGATGACTTGTTGATAACATGTAGCTGCAAGAAAGAGATTGAAGACTTCAAAGGTAATATTAGCAAGGAATTCAAAATGTCTGATCTAGGCGACATTTCATACTTTATTGGAATTAAATTTTATAAGACTAACAGAGGTATGTGTGAGGGCAAGGTTCCTTATTACTTTGTTTTAATGATGTCAAAACTAGGAAAATGTTGTACTTGTGTATTTTGGACGGTATCGCCTTGTCTTAGCTTGCATTCATTCTTTTAACACGCGCATAATGATCCATATACATGAATCTAGGAACATAGGATCATACTCTATGTGTAACATGTGCTTTAAATCATGTTTGATGCATTTGGTCGACACATACTAGGCATAGGTCGACTCACAATTGATAAAAATTGTGTTTGTGAGATTCTAGCATCCTTGTGTCGACACACATCTACTGTGTAGGTCGACACATACTGATTGATAACATCTTAGAGCTCTCAGGTGCTCGTGCATCGATGCATGTTCAGGGTTTAGGTCGACGCACAATTTGATTTTGTGCGCAGGTTTGCTTTTTGGCATGTTCAGGTCGAGTCACAAGTTGTGGAGGTCGACCTCTTTTTACCAAATTTTTCTGCATCTTTGTGATTCAAAAGTCAGTTATTTCTG